CACGACTTTATATAAGATATTTCACTCGAATAAATTAATGAATATTCGTAGTGAAAACAAAGTGTTCTGTACTGCAATACAATGATTGTTGAGAAACTCGTAGTTCATCATTACCAATTATAAATATACTACGCATAAGTTTCATAAATACGCATATTCCATTATTATTGAAAATTATGCTATAACCATGCGCTTGCAACTTCTCCTTGTACCCTCTCATTCACTCCTCCTCTCCCCCCCCCCCACCACCATACATACACGCAGATACCCAAACAGATGAAGAGAGACACAGACAGACTAACTAATTCTCTGACTCTCCCATTCCTTTCCACGCACACACGCGAATGTCTTTATTCCGATGTCTTTACAATCGCCATGCGCACAATAAAAATATTAACGCGGACAGCGTAGAAGAAAACTCACCCATTACAATTCACCGGATTTCCGAAAGGGGAGCCAAGAGAGCACCATTACTAGGCTGAACGTGTGCTTTTGAATTTATGCGTCGACAGCTTTAAAAGTGTACTTTGCCAGACGGATTCATCATTCATCGCTTAAACGGGAAAATTTTCGCACGCGCCTCTATCTTTCTCCTTTTCCTTTTCTCTCAGCACTGTGAGAAATCAAATCTGCTGGGCGCGTGTTCTCCGGTTTTTCTTAGTGTAGAACGAGCGCGACAATGGAATTTGCGTTTTCCCAAAGACGCATTTACCTACGCAATCAAATTCCCTGCTAGCTTTCTTCCCTGCATAGTCTGTCTCATATTTCTTCTACGAATTCATATGTACGCGAGCGGAGGGAAAGTCATCCTGAAAATGGAAGGGAAACAAAAAAAATTACGATTCACGATGTGAGTTGATGATACGAGCACATCGATTGCCATGAAAATATCTTTCACCTGGCTTAAATAGCTTACCAACAATATATATGTATATGAATGAAGAATAAAATTGCTATATTTCTACATATTTATTAATAATACGTCTAGTTAAAATATTGCATGAAATTTATTTCATAAGATAACTTATTAACAGCAGTTACAGGATAAGTCTTTCCCAAATCTGAATTATTAGGATAACATCCGCGCAACCTATTACCGTCGCAGCGAAAGTTTCTTTAATAGTATTGCGATATTTCAGCAATATCTTAGAAATTCTAATCTTGCATGCTTTTTAATTTATACTATTTGTGCCAAAGTTATATCGAATTCATTTCACCAGCTTTTATCGATATCTTGAAAAAATGCCAAATTTAATAAATTCAAAATTTATTATTTGACGTGTTTGTTTAGGACAAAAAAGCTCAAATGAAAATATCTTTTAGAGCAGTTAAAATTTAACATTAAAGTATTGATATTATCTAAATGTAAATATGATATTATTTATTTTAACAAAGTTATAAATCGCTTAACTGGGATATAATGTAATTTTTTGTCGCAAAGTATATTTATCTCAAATATTGAGTAAGTCGCTTGGACAAAAAAAAAAAAAAAAAAAAAAAAAAAAAAATTGCTGCATTCATAAAACAATAGAAGTCGACCGATCCTTCTTCAATACTTTTTTTTTATAAATTTGAATTTATGTTTTTGAATTTGTATCAACTCGCTATAATTGAAACTGACACTTATAGATTATTATATATTTAATAGACTGTCGTAAATATTTATTACTACTCATTTATCCCTAGCATCCGTAATTCTTGCACATGTAACAAAGTTTTGGAAGCGAATGTCAAGAGGACTTCAAACATAATAAGTCTACTTTAAGATTTTGAAAATGCGTTGAGATGGACTATCGGTTTCAATTTTTCAAGTGAAATAATTACCCAAATTGCCTGAAGCAAAAATACAACATCCAGGTTACCTACTTTCTGATTGATGCATGCATTCGATGGAAGAACAAATTCGCTCTCAACGGGTTTTTGGCTCATTCCGAATATCTGCGAATCAGTTGACGAGAGTCGGGTGACCGTTTCATTAAATTGTCCCTATGTTTTGACTCGTTTGATTTGGCGAGATTCGTTTGAGCCGGATTCGCCTGCTTTATGATCATTACGACATATCGTCGTAGCTCTGGTGAATGATACACGCGGAAAACATTGTTAAATGTCAAGTAAAAAAAAAAAAAGAAGAAGAAGAAATGAAAAAAGATTGGTACGTGAATAAAGTAAAACCATAAATCCTCGTTTTTCATTGTAGATAAATCGACTTTTTAGCTTCATTATAAATTATTCGACTCTAATTGTCAATAGAACTAAAAACAGTGCTTTTTATTTTATCTCGATTCTCGAAATGCGAGTATTTAACATTGCCAAGCCAACAATATTCTATATAGTTTTATATATATATATTTTTTTTTTTTTTTTTTTTTTTTTTTAACACCAAGCGACTTACTCAATATTTGAGATAATCGTAGCTTCTTTAATTACGAATAATTGTAATTTCTTAGAAGATTGAAATTCACATTTTACATTTATGAACTTAACTAGAAGCTTCTTATACGTAATATAACATTGTTAATACATTTCAAATGTATATATGATAATCCGTAGGGTATTGAAGACGGTGAGGTCGTAATTAAAACGTACAATGGTTAAATTAATTAACAGGATAGGCATAACCATTGCGAAAAAGGGATAGTTTGTTTATACAATGTAAAGCAAGGAGGAAAACTAAGCTATTGACTACGATAAAGCTAAGTTCGAGGGGGAAGAGACTTGTTGAATAGAATTGCGAGTATGCAGATGGTAATCATTAAAATTTTTATTGCTCCAGATGCATGTCGACATAGGCGTTAGCTTATGTTTGTAATTACAAGCGAAATTAAACAACTCAAGTTCAAACACGTCGTTGCGTTTTCTTTTACCAGATAGATAGATAGATAGATACCTAGCGTGACTTTTCTTGTGTAGAATATGCTCTTTTTCCCTTACCTTACCCCCACCCGACAACCACTACCTCAACAACTCTGATACGACGCTGTTGCTGTGATTTTACGGAATAGGAAGGAATCGTTTTAAGGTCGTCTAAACACGCGTATAATGAAACGAATTACTATTTATGTTCTCAATAGCGTATGTATATATGGACTGATAACTCTCGTTTGAAATTCGTTTTAGCGTGAATATTATCTAGATGATCCATTAATCTTATTAATTTTATTTCAATATTTGATTTTTTTTCTTTCGAAATGTATTTACATCTCGAAAAAAATACCTTTAACAATTATTAGTATTATCAAGAAAAAAATATCTAATTATAGCAGTTTTTTGAAAAAATAAAGTGATAAATTTTTGAAAATTACAATTATACTGTTTAGAGGTAAAAAAAAAAAAAAGATACGAATGAAATATTTCAATTTTTTTTTTCTACTACAATTATAATTGTGCCTACGACATTACATATCTAAAGAAGTTCAATGAAATTCAAAAGAAATCATTAAGTTAAACTTATAAAAATTGCGTCGCAGCAAGCCTTTTTACTTATTAAGGATTATAAGATTTTTAAATTTAGTTGATTAGGTGTAGTAAACATTGAACAATAATTTTAACGTTTTATCAAATGTATAAATTATAAAATCAATACAGTTTATTTGCTTACATAGTTGATATATTTTTAATAAAATTCAATATCATACAGTAAGGACAATATTGATCCTTAGGGAGCGAAGGTGCACTTACTTACAGGTTTATACTTTTTTTTTTCTTTTTTTTTCAATGTTTATTTCTATGAAATGTTTGATAGTAATGATTAATGCAAAGACGCTTAAAGCGTGCCGATCGTTCGTATCTCTTTTGAATACTCCACTTTACTTTACCTGCATCGATAATATAAATGTTCTGTTCAACTGGTCACTTGTGATTTCATATCTCACTCGTTAAAGCCCGTCGCGTAATAGTCCCGTGACACGGATCTCGCGAACAGTGGTACATTTCTTTAATATCCTCCAATGAACGATAATCGGTTACGCACTCAAACAGGAGACATGTGCTAGGAAGTGGGTTAGGTTATAATAGAGGAAATTATTCGAGGACGGGTCTTATAACGACGGGAGACGAGTATATTCATTTATCGTTTAGAATTTTCCTTATTTATAATATTTTTCTTTTATATAGTTTATTACTTTTCTTAAATAGCGCATTCTTCGGCCATTATAGTCGTGTTTATGATTTTGGCGCTAGCGATTGTTTAAAAATCGACGAAGCGGTATCGTAGAGGATGTATTAAGTTAAGTTGAAGCTCGTTAGTCTTGGATGTATCCGACATTCGACTCTCGAAGTCTAGAAATTCCGTAATCCTTTCACATAAATAATCCATTAAAGTGTTCCCGGTTTCACAACCTTGATTTCCAAATATGGAGAAAGAACTCTGAATAAGTTTCTTAGTTAACTTAAAACTTAGTAGCTTCAATAGCTTATATGCCCTAAGGTTAATTCTTTATAATTACTTTCAATCGTCCATTAAATATTTTCGTTGCAACCAGTATCAAACCGACCACTAATCCAATTAAACCATTAAACTTATGGATCTTATTTTTTACTTTAATACATGCCGCTCATATTTTTTTTTTTTTTTTTGTGCGCGCATAATTGATGCTATAAAAAATGTCGAATTAGACATCAAGCGTACGCCATCAAGCCGACAAGTAAAAAAAGTGATAATTGACACGGCAAACCAATTATTAAATATTATAAACAATAACTTTGTTAATGGAGATGCATCGGTCCTAGTAACATAACCTAAAACCGCTCGGAAAGCAGCGACAGACTGCGCAGTGACGACGCATCCAAGTGGACGCGCTGCATTCGGGAATAAAATGAAAAAAAAAACTTAAGAATTTCCAGTGACTTAATCCCATTAGCGTAACTGTACAGCCCGGCCCAGTCCAGTCCTTTTTCGCTTCTTCGTCGCCGTGGAGAAAGTGTTTGCCGTACATTGCTCCTCGCGGTAGTTTCGTCGATGGGTCATTGGTCCGTAAAGCCGGATACTTCTCGCTCGGAAGTTCTCGGGTATCTCGCGGCAAAGTTATCAACCGATCCGCGCCCTCGTACTCGTTCGCCCCGCCTCTGTCGAGAGGAAAACCGTGGGGAGCTGCAGACAACGCTCGCGAGCCCTGGGAAAGCCGCAGCGAGGCTCGACGATCCCAAACACTTCCAGTGCAAGCGAGGAAAGCCGGTAAGTTCCCATCCACACCCCCCCCCCCCCCCCCCCCCCCGGCCGTGCTCGACGTATGATGTTAACGCGTTTTATCGACGAATATTCGATGTCAGTGGAGGAGAAACTGAGTGAGGACGAGGACGAGGAGGAGTTGCCTCTGTCGCTGCCGTCGCCGCCGCCGCCGCACCCGCCCCGGCGACCGACACTGCCACTGCCACTGCCACCGCCACCGTTTTGATGTTTCATCCATGCGCGAGTGCCGGGGGCGAAATGTGTCGGGCTCAGTCGTACTAAAATGTCAGCGCTCGCCATTCTCACCAAGAGGCTTTTGAGAAAAATCGAGGGAGCCCCGAGATCTTTGACACTCTACGACTCGTAAGGTTCCGGGCTCTAGTAGATTTTCGCACTTGCAGGGTAACAGTATCTATCCCCATAGCTATTCGAGAATGATGTCAGATTTCAAGCTGCTCGGATTGTTTAACGGAAGCGAATTGACTTTTACCATCTGCATTAACTTCCCTAGAAAATTTCAAATTTAACGTGCCACGCGTCACCACCACACCCGGTATTTATTAACTTCAAGATCAACTAAGTAGCTCCGTTCTCTGATTTGGCTGTCGTATTCTTATTCGTCACTAATTCCTCGAGCTTATGGATACAAGCAATTGTTTGAGAGAGAGAGAGAGAGAGAGAGAGAGAGAGAGAAGGAGAGAGAGAAGCCTCTGTGTGGATAGGTGAGATTAACCTGTGAGTTAAACTCGCGTGTGAGAGGCCGATAAATGTCTAATGGTAGCTGGTGGTGGTGGTGTATTGGTAGCTTGGCTGCGGATAATAAGCACACATTCGATTCGCAACGCGAGGGAAACTTTAATTTTGAGAGCCATGTACATTATTGGTTTGTCTGGCAGTTGTGGCGGCGGCTAAACTTCGCATTATCGAAGCTCAGGCAAAGTTCGCCGTGAACACTTTGGCCGTAAGGACGAGGGCCCCGTGGAACCCTCCGAAGCACTCGTGCAGAATGAGCTGAAGAGGCAGGCGGAAAGGCGAGCTTTAATTAAAACGGCATTACACGAAGGCGCTAATGCGCGACGAGTACTTTGGCGAGAGCGGGAGGGGTAGAGGGACGGGAGGTTTAAAAGCACCGTTTGTCCCGTCGGGGCGAAGCCTCGGGCCTCCCCGCGACTACCTACCGCGAATGCGCGGCCCGAGGGCGGAAAGCAGCAGATGGCGTGCGGCCAGACGTTGAGTGGGGGGAGGGGGGCGACGACGTGAAACTTCAACTTCTCCGAGTGAACGTGTAAATAATCGAGCGTGGAATATGGAGTTGCAGGGGTCCCCAAAGCTGAGCCTTGGATTTCTCGGTACGGCGATATTAATACCTTCGATGAGGCCCTAAGAGGACCTGGGGCTAACACTGTTCTCGCATTGCGTGTACTTACTTCTGGCACGTTTAACGACAACCTCACTTGTAGTGGCTGAACACCGCAGTTCGGCTGTTCTTGAACAATTTACAAACACGAGATAAATGTAGCCACAGTTTGGTCGAATAAGTGCTGGCAATTGGCAAAATGTAACTGACACGTAGTTTTAAGCCGTCGTGTTTGGCATGGAATTTTTTTAAATAAGTGAAATTGATTTGAAAGGCTGTATCAAATGATTGTAAACTAGTAAGGAAATGTTTTTGAATGTATTCCTCTCGAATATCGCCTCGACTCTAATGTCCACTCGTCGATATCGAATTATGAAAAGTCTAATAAGCTATTTGAAAAAGTACGTTTGCTCGATACTCTTCGACTTTCGGATTCTCACAGAAACGATACACGTCGCCCAAGAATGCTGATATATCGCATACCACCAAAGAATCGTTAACATCCACTCACGTAAAGGACGCTGCGGAATGAAGGCTTGGAAAATCGAAGCAATCGAATCTCAATTAAAGCATTTCCAAGGCGTAAAAGTGCATCGAATGTCGCACAGTCGTTTCGTTATTCTCGTCGCGAACGAGCGAACACAGACGCTCATTCATCCGCTCATTCGCGAGGAATTTTAATTCAATGTTGTATGCTCCTCTTCCTCCTCCTCCTCTTCCTCCTCCTCCTCTTCCTCCTCCTCCTCATCCTCATCCTCATCCTCATCCTCCTCATCCTCCTCGCTTTCTACTCCTCTCTTACTTTCTCGCGATCGTCTTGGGGCTAAGAGGAGCCAGTCGACCAAAAATCGGCAAGTAACCACGATTCGTCGGAAGCGAAGAAGAGCTTCTCCATCGGCTAGGGTATGAAAGCCAACGACGTCGATTCGCGGCGAAGATCAAGGTCAGCGAGTCCGACGCCTACCATCGGGAGAGAAAACGAGAGAGAGAGAGAGAGAGAGAGAGAGAGAGAGAGAGAGAGAGAGAGAGTCGACGGGGTGGGACAGAGTGGCGGTTGGAGGGGGCCGGGCGGGTACGTCGTCGTTCCTTCCGCCCGACGCGCATGCACCTGTGGATTTGCAGTCGCGAAAACCAGTTGCCGCGTCGTAGAGGACATTACGCTACGATTCAGTGAATGCGCGCACCTCAACTGTCTGGATTTTATTCTCGAGGAGAAATATTTTGTTTGCCACGACCGGAGTTGTCCGTATTCACGCGGCCTGCTACTTACCGACCCTCTCCCTCATTTCATATCGATTACGCACGAAGGCTTCGCTTTGCTACGAATTTATTATCTTATAAATAAGCCTTCCCTAACAAAATCAAGATGAATGTTATGTGCGGCTGGGTATTTTTGAAAAAAAAAAAAAAAGGAAAAATATATAAAAATATAAAAAATAACACAATGTTGTTTGGAAACTTTTCGTAGGCCTGTTACGGCATTTGAGCCAAGTTTCCCTCATAACTTATAGTTTCAGTACTCATTTATCAATGTCAATATAATTTGAATTCTTAAACAATATTATTCTGTGCTACATTTCAATAATCTTTCGTATTGCATTGCAATGTAAATACGTCGTTAATTGGAAGAAGGAAAAGAATTAGAAAAGAATTTGAATTTGCATATGGATATATACAGCATTATTAGCATAATTAAAGAAGAAAAAAAGTTTCATATTTAACTTTATCTATAACGATGCATATAAATAATATTTAATAATATTAAGCTAAAGAACTTAATGCAAAAGAATAAAGAATCGATTGCGAATCTTATAGAATATATCTTGTATGGTAGTAGATATGAAGAATGTCGCCATTCTTAATAGGCAAATTATATTTTATTTTATATCTAAATTTATACTATGAGAATGAATGCGCGCAAGCTCATTCCCTGAGGAATGTTTTTTTTCTCTCTTCGTTTTGCCGTATAAATACGATGATACGCGCTGATAATTAAGCGGTAAAACAAAAAAATGGAGCTTCGTTGATTATATTGCGTTTTAATCTTTATCATTCCAGTAGATTATAAATACTTAGAAATTAAATAATTACTAAAAAGCATTTTCACATTTACGATACATTTCATTTTAATGTAAATTTAATGTAATAATACTCATTTGTAATTTTATAATTACATTCGCTTACACTTGTATTTGCTTGTGACATGCTACAATTTTTAATTAAAACATCTTCCGAATAGTACCATACATCTACCTAAGGCCGAAAATGTTTTAATTAATTTACATTAAAAAATCCTCGAGCTACCTTATTCTATTAACAATACTTTAAATAATAATCATAAAATACTCGTACGCTTAATTAATAACACATAGGCAAATTACACAATGTCCTACAGCAGGTACTATTTTATAATTAAGCGAATAACAATGCCGGCAATGTAAAAGTAATGTTGTTCCCATCTTATTAAAATTGTGAATATATAAAGGAAACTATTGAATGAAACGAGGCAAACAAATAATCTCGTACCCTTTCAATTTCATCTCGATATGAATTAGTTGGAAAGTAGCAATGACGTTAAATCCAACACTACACGGTGGTAAAGAGAAGAAGAAAAACAGGAATAAACAAAAATCCGTGTTTCTTAATCCTCTCAGCGCACTCGTGTTCTCGATAAATAATTATCGTCGCGTCGTAAATAGCTCGAAGGCAAGCCTGGACCACCAGTTAGTGGACAACATTGGCTTATCACGCCAAGTGATTAATAAATGGACAGGCACGTATGGCTCGTGTCTTAATCAATAATTGGTTTCCAAGGATCGTCCCGTCGACACGTATGCTTGTTCTAACGCACGAGTGCGCAGTCGCCAATGGAGAGCATCCCGTTAGGGTGCGCGAGTTCGATGTACCCGGGCCCTTCCGTCGCGCGCCTCTTCCCAGAAAACCGGAAGTCCACGTCGGGTGGTCCCGCGGCTCCCACCGCCGTTCGGTCGCCGCCACGGTCTCCCTGCCCATCCCTGGCCACCTTCGATTGTTGCCACGTTGCTCGGCAAAACGACCCTCATCAATTTGCATTGACCCGTGTATCTACAAGAAGTCCTCCGTCGCCCCCCAAGCAAATCAAATACACCTCGCCCACCCCAGATCGATACTCTTGCTTTATTGTAATTTACGACTGCATTTTATTCCATTGTGGTTCCTCGGTTTATTCATTATTTACCGGCTGCCAGTGGTATCTTAGTCGTGCATGAATTATTAAAGAAGTTTCGTGCTAACGGACACGTTGGAGAGCCTTCGAATTATAGATCATTGCACGACACTTCGTTTCATTTGTAAAGTCCTTTATTTATTAAATAGCCATTAAATTGACATTGTCGTTTTATCATAAATATTTTTGTTATCTATTCGTTTAATTGTAAGAGCTTGGAAAATTAGCCTCGACTACTATCTTTACAACAAATATCTTGTATTATTGAATCCCCAACAAGTGCGTATTGAAATAAATATACGTGCAAATGTACGGTGTTACAAAAGTCTATGCTTTTTTTCGGTTTGTTTTTTTTTTTTTTTACGTGAAAAATATCCTATTTTCCTATCTACGAACGCTTTCTCTAGAGACTTCAATTAGTATCGAGGAGTGTTTGATAATATAATTACAATACGTCTCGTAATTAAAAAACAATTTTAGCCAGTTAGTTGAAACAGTATTCGACCGCGTCAATGAAAATATTTGAGAAAATTAGAGAATATTACAGCATCGCACACGAACGTTAATGTCTCGCGCCTTATCAAAAATTATCATCAACTGTGCTTACGAGTTGAATATAATTAAATGGACACTCGAAGACAATCAACGCATCTGTAAACGCGCT